ATCGTGGGAGCAGCGGGCCGTAGGCCCGCAGATCGTCAGTGCCCAAAAGTAACGAATTCTGACCTATGTCTTGAAACAAGGCCTGTAGCTATCACAGAGTGGGAGCTGACAACACCCTCCCCAGAGAGAGACGCTTCCACGAAAGCGGCAACGTATCGGAAGAACTGCATCACGGACCAAGCGGTCTGCAATGCAACCAGGAACGTCTGAAAGATGCAGATCATGTCACCATCAGCACCCAAAACAACTGTACGAACCTGTCGGTCTTAGCGTCTCTGGTCGAAGGATTCAAGAATTAGTCCAAGTTGCTGATGTTGGTAGAGGTGGGAACAGGAGACACCACAATCTCACCAAGCGACCCTTTGCTAAATCCAAAGAAGACGGGCGTAAATGTGTCTGACCTTTCCCACCCCTTGTCGCAACATCATTGCCCGAGCGGCTTGGTCCACCAGGCGACCTCGTCTTCGATGGCACAGCTGATTGCAGCATGATCAGCTCCGGCTGGCCAGCTTCGTGTTGATCATCGTCATCACGCCTCCGGCTCTGCCACAGCCGTGATGAAAAATGTGAAACTTGCCATTGTACCGGTCTTGCTCGATGGGCCATCGGGTTTCCTGCACGCAGCAGATGTGCACCCAGTGCGCCGTCAGCCAGTTCTGCTGGCCGTGAGATGTCCTGACTGGTGGGCGCCCACCACGTACTGACTACGCAGGGGTTCGGAGGAGACCAGCTGGCCGCTGTACCATGTCTGTCCTGTTGGGACTGCTGTGCTTGCGTTAGTCACAAAAAGCTTGCAAAAAATCGCATGGAAAGAAAACATCATGAAAACACCATGAAAATTCTTTCCACATGTTTAAGCAACATGCATGAATTTTTTTGACGTTTTATGCACCACACAAAACGTTCAAGCAAGGAAATAAAAGTTTATCACACAGAAATGAGAAGTGCCTTTGTCTCCAATGTCTTGAAGTAAAAATTTCATTCATTTTTCCCTCTTTGCCGGCGCTGCACTTGGATTTTCTCCAAACTGCGTTGCACATGTGTGCTCTGACCTGAAGATACTTCTGTCATGCTTGTGCGACAACTTCTTGCACGCTTCTTCAGCAATCGCCGCGGTCGAAAGAACGATGATTTGATTTCAGAAAGACACTGAGCATTGTCTTGAGTGGGCGCAGAGAAGCCAAGAGGCGTCTTTCAGAATCTTGCTCAATTAAGCTTGGCAGTCGATGGGAGGCCAGAGCCAGCTAAATTGCCAGTGTGCACGCCTGGAGGCAGAGTTCTTGTTCCGTAGGTCCAGATTGGGCAAGCTGCATCTCCGCGTGGACTGTGGAGTTAAAAGTGTGCCAACCAATTGCTGCCTCTTCATGGAGTTAGAGTTGACGTGCACTTAGATTGTCTGCGTGAAAAGCTTCTTGTTGAATTTAACAACGTCAACTCCAGGTTCTGGATTCGAATGTAAACAGTTATCTCTGTGTGAAACATAAAAGGTGGGCGTCCGGCTCAACTCTTTTAAGTTTGCGGAAACCAAAACAGGTCACAGAGGAGTCTAGTAGTACCAGAACTTTTTAGCCTTGGATAAGTGTTAAGTTTTAGACGGGCGGGCGGGCGGGCGGGCGGGCGGGCGGGCGGGCGGGCGGGCTCCAAAACACCGTTTGGTAGTTCACGCCTTTAGTTTGCTGCATCGGAACTGCGTGGCCGAGTGAAGTAAAACGAAAACTTTGTGTGCCCCTATGAATGTTACAGCAACTGCCCGACACTTCTGCTAATGTTCTTGCAGGGCACTTTCGGGACATCATCTCGGGGCATGCGCCGCCACATAGGCTTTTACCTTGATACCCAAGGCGGATTCGAGACACTATGTCGACAACTTCCGCCCCTTAGATATGCCGGAAGGCGGGATCGCCAGACTGGATTTCTTATGCTGGCCTCCTGGCAAAACAGCATATTGCATGGTCTGTTCGAGTGAGACGCACTGCACTTCTGCAAGCACGCACCTGGGCTGGGAATCGTTTCATGCTTTTGAGGACCTTGAACATAGATATATGATGATGAACCAGAGTCACCAAATAAGCGGCAATGTGTTTAAGATATGTGGTGAACCAAAATCGCCGCACGAGGGCGCGTCTAAGACAATTATGGTGAGCCGGAATCGAGAAAGCATGATGTAGATGTAGGATAAACTGGCAAAAGAGTTGGGCGTGTTAATTTAAAACATATGGTGAGCCGGAACCGCGAGGCAAGTTTAACATGTATGAGGAGACGATATCGCCCAATGCGGGGCGTGTCAAAGATATAGGATGAACCGGATTCAGCAAATGAGGGAGTGTGTTTGACATATTATGTGATGAACCGTTATCGCCTAATCATGAATCGAATCGGACTTGCCACATGAAGCGGGCCCTTAGTCCAGAGAGCACCCAAAGCTTTGGGTGCTCACCTACACACCAAGGGCACACTGGATTGAATCTGGTCGACCAAACACACACATGCCAAGTGAGGTGGCCTGTTTCAAGTTTTGATGTGAACCGGACTCGCCATGTGAGGGCGCGTGTCTGAGACATATGGTGAGCCGGTGTCGCCAAGTGAGGATTATGTTCAGCATGTATGATGAACCGGAGTCGCCAAATGAGGGGGTGCATTAAAGATGATTTATGATGAACCTTTGCCGCCAAAGGGGGGGGGCGCAGTGCGTTCAGGACAAAGGATAAACCGGAATCGCCAAACGAGGGGTATGTGCAGCATGCATGATGAACCGGAAATGCCAAATTGTAAAATATCTGGTGAACCGGAACCGGTTAAGCGAGGGGGGCTGTTTAAGATATATGATGAACCGTTATCCCCATATGAGGGGGTGTTTAACATGTCTGACGGGCCGATATCGCCAAAGGTGGGGGCGTGTTTAAGATATAGGTTGAACAGGAATCACCAAATGAGGGAGCGTGTTTAATATATTATGTGATGAACCGTTATCGCCTAAGGAGGGGGTGTGTTCAACATTCATGATGAATCGGAATCACCAAAATAAAGTGGCGTGTTTAAGATGTGTGGTGAACCGGACTCGCTACATGATGGCGTGTGTCGAAGATATAATTATGAATAATTATGACTTATGGTGAGAGTCACCAAATGAGGGGGCATGTTGAACATACCCGAGGAGCCGGAATCGCCAAAAGAGGGGGGCGTGTTTAAGACATATGATGAACCGGCGTGCTATACTTATGAATGGCCAAATTAGGGGAAAAAGGGTGAGTCAGAAATGCCTGTTGTTGTCGTTGTTGGTGTTGTTGTGTGAAAAGAACTTTCAAAAGCAAGAAAAACGGGCGGGAATCACAGATGACAGGTGCCCGTTCGACAGCAGTAAATACATGTATATATCTATATACATACGGAAGAACATAGAAAAAACACAGATCGACGCAAACGACAAGGCACAGATTAACACAATCCATGTGTTTTGAAGCCAGGACAGAGGACTGAAGATGCACATGAAGAGGAAAATGCACGCATGGTACAGGAAAAGGCAAAAAAAGGCACAGATCGACACGAAACAAAGGCACAGATTGACAGGAACAGAAAGACACAGACCGACACGAAAAAAAAGGCAAAACTGAGCTTCGCTCCTGTTTCAAGGCCTCAATTCGTTGGCTCTTTATGGATCCTCAACCTCCGTCGGCGCCTCTTCGGAAAACTTTGGTTAACTTAGACACTGAAGTATATGCCTGCCCAAGCCCTATGTCTGCTTTGTGTTTTTTGTCCTAAACAAGGCTTGAACCCAAGCAGATCGCAGTCTGGCTGCTAGGGGTGGGTTTGGAAACGCCGAGCGGCGAGCGTCTGACGGTTGGTGCGTTTCAGCAGCCTGCCTGACACAAGCGGACATGTGATGGTGGATGTTGCAAAAGATTATAGCAGCAGCAGGCGGTTGCATTTCCGCAGCAGCATTTTGTGTTCAGATCTAGATCTGTTGCGCTTTCGCCATTCGAAAGAAGCATGGGAAGCTTCCGATTTGCCGTTGTTTTCGCAATTCTGCGGCCCAGCTTGCAAGTGTGTGCATTTGAACGATCGGCTTGCGACGATAAGGCCATTGCATGCATCTGGTGAGTCAGGTTGATATGATGAGGTGCATGTCTTTAGGATTCCGGCAAATGCCATGTTTCTTTGGACCCAGCCGCTTCGTTACATCAGTTGCCTCCCACATCTACTTCAAGGTTGACAGGAAGACGAGCTTGTCGGGGGTTCTGTCGCCCTCCACCATGCAGATCTACCTAGTGTCCGGAGCGGTGCTTCAGTAAGATGTTTGGAACTGACAGTTAGGCCAATCTGGCTACCTTGAGCCGGCTCAGGTTTGGAGCCACGCCTGGTGTGGCGGTGCGCTCGAATGGCGAGACTGACAATCACGTCGTGTCCATGGAACCGAATCCCGCCGAGGACCGTATCGGGTTCTAAGCCCAGGCATTGCACTGCAAGCCACACCCGACGCTCGGATCTTTTGGAACGTTGGAGGTGTCGAGCTTCAAGCTTCTTGACATTGAAGCGGGTGTGAAACGAGCGGCCGGAGCCGCTAACCGCCGTAGGCTACGTCCGGAGATGCGAAGCTGTCCGTAGGGTGTGTGGTGTCTGACACGTTTCGGACTCGGAAAGCCGGAAACCTGGCGATTCTCGGTGGGAATCGGAGCTAAGCCCCAGAAGGAATCCTAGAGATAATTTCGCCAGTACCCCACACTATGGACACGATGGACCTTGAGAGCAGCCTGTCCACCTTCCGAGGCCCCAAAGCCCTGTGCCGTAGAGCCTTCATGCCAGCTTTTTACTGTGTCCCCTTGCAGGACGTGAGAAGGGATGTGAAAAAAGCCTTCTGCGAGAACTTCGAGATCACGTGCTACCTAACAGGGGGCTTTGCAAGCGTGCTTTTCGGCGTCGGAGCTACAACGGATACTTCTACATTCCTCCAAAAGCTGACCCCAACTCATCCGGCGACGCCGGCATGCCAGAGCCCAAAACCCTCGCTGTCTCTCCACAAGACTTGCGACAAGTTGGGGGCTAGAGCAGCGCAAGGATCCCGAACGCCCAAGCTTTAGTCGGCGACAAGGCGGAGAGCCTAAACCCTCAACCCTAAACCCTAAACCCAAAGCCCCTAAACCCCTCAAGGGTGGGTGGGGGCACCTCTGAGGCTTCATTTAGTGGGGTTTCGTGGTAAGTTGAATCTTCTGCCTCGATCCGCCCACAGCAGGTACAAGGTGAAAGGGCAGAAGGGAACCCTTGCGCACCCGTGTTGCACGGAGGCCGAGACGTGTTTCGGAAAGGACACCGAGGGCGGGGGCGGGCAGGGGCGGGGGGGGGTGGGGACAATTTGAGTCTGCATTTGCAGCCGCAGCCCACAGAACCCAATACCCTTTAATTAAGGCATACACCTTAAATCATAGTATTAAGGCCCTTATATTTTTAGGGTATATTCCTTAATGAAGGGGCATTGGGTTCGCTGGGAGGGCAGTGGCACAGGCAGGAAGGCTTGCCTCGTCTTTCTGGAACCCCGAGATCAGGTGCAGCGAAACTCGTGTGGACGCCGCATGCAGACAGACAGGTAGCTTCCGAAATTAGGGTCCGTTTGTTCGTTTTATAAGGGTGCCGTACTATTTTGCGGACGACCCTAAACCCTAAACCCTAAACCCTAAACCCCTAGAAAGGGACCCAAATTTAGAGAACTACCCAGATCCATCGGGCCAGGAGCAGATTGGGCACTGCCAGGCCCAGTGCACTGTGGAGGCGGCTTAGTCGATGCGAGCTTACGGATTAGGAGTTCAGGGATTTAGGGTTTAGGGTTTAGGGGTTTAGGGTTCAGGGTTTAGGGGTTTAGGGGGTTTGGGGTTTGGGTTCCTGAGAGGTTCTATTCGTCCACTCTCCATAGGCTCCTCCCGTTGTCTGACCCAATGCGGGTGTAAAGGCTGACGTGTTTCTTCAGTGCGTGACCACCCAAGTAATGGGTGGGAACGGGCCAAGCAGGCCGGATGGGAATTTAGGGTTTAGGGTTCTCGCCCCCTCCTCACCTCCTTGGCCTCTGGCCGTTTTTCGCGCTGCATCTTGAGGTGGGAATTGAGGGCGACAGCCCTAAACCCTAACAGGCAATAGTTTGGGTGGTGGCCTGTGACTTTTCACAGCGGGCGGGAAAAACTAAAGAAATCCCAGTTGCGATGGAGTCTTTAACGACATCATGCCTGGGTCGCTGGGCG